CCCTAAGAAGAATTAGTATAAATAGAACAGTGTAAACCTATGAAAAAGGATATTCTTTCCCCCAAGAGATTCCCCTGCCCTAGATACATAAGAAACAATGCTTAAGCTCTTGTAAAGGCGTAGTGCCGACGATGCTGATATACTCACCTGATTCTAATACACGACTTTAAGGAGCAAGAGATTCCATTACAGTGGATGTAGCTTTGGCCTTTAGCTAAGGTGAACCACTTATTTTTTGGGCCTTTCATTACTTACAAATCAACTAATCATCTGATCGAACTCACTGATCCAGATAGTAATTCGTTAATCGGGCTTGGGCCATTGTTTCCAAGACCCCATCAAATACCAATACTCTTGAATATTATATAATACTTGCATTGTATTAGGCATTCAAAGGATAAGCTTAATTTTGAATTTTAGAGTAGAATAGATGCACAAAATAAAAGGTAGTATGAAAATTATAGTTGTTTATTAGGATGACATCATGTTTTTTAAATGTTTACATTAATGGATATTGACGACAGGGGTTACGTATTACACGCGCACAAACGTTAGACGTAATTCTAAATGTGAAGGGGTCTAGTGATTAAGTGACAAATCTGGAGAGGTCTAGGTGTAATTTACTTATTTAGTTTTAGATTGCAAATTTACACCTGTTAGCTTCAAGTGCACATTGATACAGATTTATACCTTTAAGGGTACAAATTGAGATTTTTTATCGTTGAGGGTGTGTAAATTGAGATTCGAGAGATATTTCAAAATATAATTTGTGATAACCCAAAAATTTATACAATTAAATAATCAAATAAGTTATCATTAATGACAATTTAACGTATATAGACCCTATCAAGTCGGCTTTTATATGATAGAATTGCAAAAAATGAGTTTGAATCATAAAATTTAAAAATCTAAAATTATATTCTTATTTGGCACCGTAAAATTAATTTATGACAAATGTCATATTTCACTTATTCCCTCATTCTTTCATTACATAGTGCGATGACTAAGAATAAATAATTATCATAAATATTATTTTCACGTGATCCAACCATAAATATTAATTAATAATGTATTATTATAATATATGTCATATATATGAAACCAGCTTGAGTAAAAACTTCTCAATTCGTCGGGAAGCAAAATGCTCTGTAATTGAAGCTGAAGATAAAGAGCCAACGAAGGGAGAAAGATTTGAAACATACCATTTTAGCTTAGTTCGCGAGTATAGTTCCCAGGGATAAAAGAAAGGCAATGAGAATTGTTTTGGTGTCGAAAACAACTTTCTTTCATTTTTCATTTGGTCATAGGACTTACACACATATGTCTCAATGAGAAACACAAACTCATGTGATTAATATCTTCAATTTGGTATCAAAGGCTACTTGGTTTTTTTGAATACACTAATTGAATTACGCAACCTGTATAGTAGATATAGGATTTTAAAAAAGGAAAATATCAATAAATATTATTTTTTTCTTATAAATATTCATTAACTCCTATTATTTTTGTTTTATATCAATGAAGTCCTATTTTTAATATTTTATTTCAATTACTCCTAATTCCGTTATATTCCAATTTTATCTTTACCCTTTAATTACCAAAACTCTATCATTCTTTTGTATTCTTAGAATCAATTAATAGAATATTACAGATTCTACATTAATATTAATTTAAGTTAATTCCTACTAAAATCATATTTTATTAATTTATATTGGATTTAAAATGATTAAGTTAGAGATTTATTTTAGTTGTTGTGTTTGAATCNCATTAATATTAATTTAAGTTAATTCCTACTAAAATCATATTTTATTAATTTATATTGGATTTAAAATGATTAAGTTAGAGATTTATTTTAGTTGTTGTGTTTGAATCAATAACGACATTAAAATGAAATTAATCGACAAATATTATCGATATAATTTTTTTTAACCTTTCTTATTTTATTAAATAATCAGCAAATATTGTCTCAATTTTTAGGGTTAGGTACCCTAATAAGATAAGAAAATAAGAAAAAGTGAGTNGATAACGACATTAAAATGGAATTAATCGACAAATATTATCGATATAATTTTTTTTAACCTTTCTTATTTTATTAAATAATCAGCAAATATTGTCTCAATTTTTAGGGTTAGGTACCCTAATAAGATAAGAAAATAAGAAAAAGTGAGTTTTCTTTGAGTCTTACCATGAAGTTTATGTTAACTGGGGTTTTTTTTTATGGAGTTTCGATGTTAATTTTGTAAGTAAGAAATTTTTATTCTCTTANAGGGTTTTTTTTTTATGGAGTTTCGATGTTAATTTTGTAAGTAAGAAATTTTTATTCTCTTAATTGGTTTTAAGAATGCAAAAGAATGAAAGAGTTTTAGTAACTAAAGAATAAGGATAAAATTGAAATATAATGGAATTTAGAACTTCACTGAAATAAAATATCAAGAATAGGACTTCATTGATATAAAATAAAAATGATAGGACTTGATTGATTTTTGTGGGGAAAAGTAATATTTATTGGTATTTTTCCCTTTTAAAAAACTTAAGGAGGGATATGGGGGTATTTTTGAAAGTTAAAAAATCTTTTATATGCATATATTGAATAGGAAGCCATTAGTTTTGCTTCTAACAAATTATAGATCAAATTTGATAATCAAATCTATTGGTGTGATTAGATTAGCAACAAATTCCATACCATATTGAGACTTGTTGCCCAAAATAGATTTATTTGGTGAATGTGATTAGTAAATTTAGTTCAAGCAACCTTACTTTAATGGTGTATTTGTGTTCTAGTATTAAATTTGATTAAGTTAGACTACATGTCCAATCCAATCTCTACCGATTAGATTACACAGTTTGATCTATTGTTGTCATTAGATTAACAATAAATAACATACCATAAGAGACTTGTTGCTAATTTAGTGACCACTTTAAATTTATTTGGTGAATTTGATGAGTAAGTTTAGCCCTTATGTTGTATATTTGGGTTCAAGTTTTAAATTGGATTAAACTGGATTATATGTCCAATCCAATCTCTTCCGATCAGATTACACAGTCAATTTTATAATCATATTCCATACCTATTTATGTCTGGATAGAAGTTTGGAATAAAGTGTGGGTTTATACTCTTGATGTTATTCCCATGTTTTGATATGAGACTGAAGTGTTATATAAGTGAAAAACCATTGACGTGTCTTCTTCTTAAATAGCTCTTTCAGTGTAAGAATAAGTTCTACTTGGTGAGATCTTCGTTATCAGACAAAATAAATACCCTGCATCCAAACTCATCCAAAGCAAAAGAGTTGGTAATTTCTAATTTTGTGATATGCAGGATAGTACCAATCAAATGTTAATCTATACATGAAATCTTTTTTACCAAGTAAATAGTGTATCAGAACTTGGTTAAAATTGAAAACTACTATTAAGTAAGAATAATATTAAAACGAGTCACATCTCAAGTCATAATACTTGAACCCTCGAGCTTTTACAAGAACTAAAAAGCAAAAAAACTTGGTTCTCTTTTCTCATTCTATATGACAAGTTCCACTAAGTAACAATTTTGATTATGCTTAATTAATTCATTGTCGAATTGGTTGGACTCGTTAATGAATTTCTATTAAAACTNGTTTTTACCAAGTAAATAGTGTATCAGAACTTGGTTAAAATTGAACTCTAATTAAGTCGCAAAAAACTACTATTAAGTAAGAATAATATTAAAACGAGTCGAGTCACATCTCAAGTCATAATACTTGAACCCTCGAGCTTTTACAAGAACTAAAAAGCAAAAAAGCTTGGTTCTCTTTTCTCATTCTATATGACAAGTTCCACTAAGTAACAATTTTGATTAAGCTTAATTAATTCATTGTCGAATTGGTTGGACTCGTTAATGAATTTCTATTAAAACTCAATGAAACCCAAAAAGGAATGCAAAATAAAGAAATAAAAATTATTAATTTAACTGACATTACCACAATTTATTTACCCATAAAAAATAGCAATATTATTTGGACGTAAAATGTTGATATGATTTGTTTATCTTATCCGTCAATGTCATTGATTTAACTGTAAATTCTAATATTTATTAAAATTTATTATCAATTCAATTATTGTGATTGATTAGATCAATAAATTAGCTTTAAAATTTTAGGTACAAATAGTATTTTTCAAAACGAAGGCATTACCCAAATTTTAAAAATGGGATTTGACTAATTTACTGCCAAAAAAATTTTGGTACTATATTTCTAAAATTTACTTATTTAAATAATATTTTTATAATTTTTGTGGGTCATTTTACAACAAAAAAATTTAACATTTTTGTGGTTGATTTACCACTGTTGTGAGTATTTTTACTACCATTCAGGGTATTTTGATCATATTTATAATAATTATTTTTATTATTTTTATAGATAATTTATCATATTTGTGAGTTTTTTTATCGTATTTATAAATATTTTTATCATTGTTATAATAATTATTTTTATTATTTTTTTTAAGTACCATAATTGTAAAAAACGGCTCTGTGGCTGTACCGTATCCAACTACTTAAAAATGATGGGAACTAAATTCAATTTCCAAAAGTGTATGCGACCCCACTAAAACCACCAAAGTCAAATACAACAACAACGGATTTGCCTTTAGCTTTCTTACCGTTGTATTATGTCTCACAGTCACGGACCCACAACCACCGCCGTTAAAAATTCAAAAATCCTGTCTGGCTCTCTCGTTCCAACGGCTCTGCTTGCTTTAGACCCATATTAGAACCGAGTAGTATCCTGTTTATACCAGCGTCTTTCTTCCCTTCTTCTCTCAATCAAAACTTACAAAAAAAAAAAACAATTGCCAAATCTAAGGACAAAATCAGGTCATCCATGGATTCAACACCTCCTTCTCATCGTTCTGACCCTCGAATCGGAACCAAATCGGCCTCTCGGCTTTCTCGAATCCGCCATCTTATTGAAGTAAGTGAAGGAACCCCTCCTCTCTCTCTTGATGTGGTCCCTTCTTCACCAAAAATGGCCATATTTTCACCCTCTTCTACTGTCTCTCCAAAACCTCACAATGCTCTTCCTCTTCACGAGCTTTTGCTCCTTTCGCCTTCTCCTCTCAGAAGATCAAAGACCCGTCTCTCGGAGAGGGTTGAAATGGCTGAAGAGGCCGTTGAGCCAAATGGAGCACGTAAGAAATGCAAGAACAGAAATGCTGCAATGGGTTTGGTGGGTTGTGCTTCTCCGAGGAATGGTCGGAGATCGAGGAAAAAGTTGGAGCATGAGATAAGGGAAGAGAAGGATTTGGGAATGGTGGAAGAGATGGGTAAGGCTAGGAAAAGAAGGCATAGTGGTCGGTCCAAGAAGGAAAAACTGAGCTTGGTACTTTCAATTCCATCTCCAAGTATGTCTCTGTTCTGATCTTTTATTTCACTGAAGTATATTTTCTTGATTTATATACATTTTTTTTGAGATTTTCTTGATTGATTTGTGCTTATTTGGGTGTGATTATATGACTTAGAAGCACAAGATGGTTATGAGTATAATCTTGACCAAATGGGGCAGCTGATAACTGATCTGATTATGTGGAAAGATGTTGCAAAATCAAGCCTTTGGTTTGGTTTTGGGTCACTCTGTTTCCTATCTTCTTGTTTTGCCAAAGGAGTTAATTTTAGGTATGTACGAATTTTCTCTCTCCTACTCGATAATTTCGATTTCGTTTTAAGATATCTAAGAAGTCCACAAAATCATGTTTACAGCATTTTCTCAGCGATTTCTCAGTTGGGACTCCTTTTTTTGGGTGTGTCATTCTTCTCAAATTCAATCCGTCAAAGGTATATCACCATTTCTTCAATGCCTTGTTAAGTTNCATGTGTGTGTACAACTGGAGTGTATATGTGTAGTGAGTGTGTACTGGAGTATGTGTAATTATGTGCTGTGGAATATTTGTGTTGGGTTTGTGAAATTTGAGAGGGAAAGTGTGTGAAATTTGGGGGGAAAAATATACCCCCCATAAGTTTAAACACCTAGCTATCTTATTATATAGATATACATGCATGCATATAAGTGTATTGCTTATATATATTAAGATGTATATAGATCACTTTGCAAAATAATAATGAAATATAACGTCCACTATTATTTTTAAGAACTTTTATTCAAAAAAATCGTTGAGCAAAAAAGAAGGAAAGATACTTTAAAAAGTTTTTACACAACTTTGCCAAGATACATTAATCTTGCTGATTACAAATTTTACAATATTGTTTTGTATTGGTTTTGTGCAGCATTCATATCTATTGTAATAATTCGATACTATCGACAACACTCAGAATCAAAAGTTGAAGAAGAGGTAGCAGAAAAGGGTGAAGAAGAAGAGCAGCAACAACAGCAAGCACTGGTTGCGGTAGAGAGTGGATCCCAAAAGTAATAGTCATCATCTTCTACTCATTGTAGACCACATTGCCCTGTTCCTTTCCCCAAATGGTTGAGTTGAGGCAATAATGACAGTAATTAGCCTACTGAAAAATGACTCCTCCATATCCAAATAAGAAAACTTGTGTTTCTGTTATTATTACTTGTATGAATAAGCAATGAACTGAAATATCATTCAGTTACTTGTTATTATTACACTCTTTCCAGCAAAATAGGGCGTCGACTTCCACCAAGTTACATGTAAGATGGAATATCCATTAAAATAGGTGAATTGATTGTTCTTAGACAATCAACAAGAACTGAAAAGATAAAACGNCGTAATTAGCCTACTGAAAAATGACTCATCCATATCCAAATAAGAAAACTTGTGTTTCTGTTATTATTACTTGTATGAATAAGCAACGAACTGAAATATCATTCAGTTACTTGTTATTATTACACTCTTTCCAGCAAAATAGGGCGTCGACTTCCACCAAGTTACATGTAAGATGGAATATCCATTAAAATAGGTGAATTGATTGTTCTTAGACAATCAACAAGAACTGAAAAGATAAAACGATGCATGCTGGCCGCGGTTGTTCAGGCTGATCCAACATGTTTCCCAGCAGTCAAGAAAAATAGATGCTGCTCATTCACCCAATAGCAAACCATTTATGATGATGCCAATCAATGAACTTAAAGAACCAATAACAGAGTACTCCGTTGGACAGGATCATGCATTGACATTAGCCTCAAATACAAAGCCTTTCCATGATACCAAATAGAGAAGAATAACCACAATTCATTTGGCCAAAATTAACTCATAGTTGGCTATAAATATAACAGACTGCAGAATTCTTGCTACATGCGTCTTCAAGATGTACAATCTTTCATAACCTCACATCATCATAGAGAACATCTTGTAAGAAACTACCAATCAAAACTCCTATAGTACATCTAATCAACAAGAACTATTCATAGTAAAATTGAACATTTCAAGACCAAACTCAGAGCTATCCTTCAGTTCACATGTCTAACTACACCATCCCAACATCCACAACACAATCGCAACCTTTAATGAAATGCATTGCCCAATTAATTCATATTCTCGCATTAATAATGATGAGAACTCTGCTACATGAGTTCACAGTCNCGAATACACACCATGAAGAAGGAGTTGGGCGACTGCACCAGACGCTTGAGCTTGTGCTTCTTCTTCTCAAGGTCGGCCGGAGGGTTTAGCAAATCAATATCGTTAGAGAGAACCTAATTCATACACAAAAACANGCATTAATAATGATGAGAACTCTGCTACATGAGTTCACAGTCATCAAGCATATCACCTGTTTTACTACAGGCCATAAACACATAACATGGCATGGCTACCACATTTTGCATGAACCTCACAATCTCATCATCTTGCTTGTACAACAGTGTCATGTATCTCCATCACTCGATGACCACATTCCCGGTCAAATTTGCAAGGTCATGGTTNCAAAAATCTTAAACAAACATCAGAAATATACATATAGCAAACACCAATCAAATAGTTTAACGTAAAATTAGATGGACAAATTAAAAGAACAAGCATGGAATAACAAATAAGAGAAAGTTGATAAGCTCACCATCTTCGCTCTGAAGAAACCACGTTGAAGAAGAACAAGAATATGACAAACCCTAGGAACTCTGTGGAGAGTGTGAGAGCCGCAAATGAACTGAAAAGGGTGAGTCGTTAGGGTTTGCGGTGGTTATATGCGAGTATCTGGAGAAATATAAGCCGTCGGATCATCGAGGCTTCTTCATCTCGACCGTTTTAATTGTAGTCGGTGACGGACCCGTTAAGGGTAAAGCTAGGTCAAGTTAACTTTAGGATAAGGATTGGCATCAGCCGGGTCAAAGTTTTAAATAAGGGATTCGGATTCATCCAATGATGTCAGGTTAATACTAGGGGTATAATTTGGGCGAGTTAATTCGAATTCAATTCAAGTCTAAACCAAAAAATACAAGGGTTGGGTTAGAATTTTTAATACTTGAGTTGGACCTGAAAAAAAAAATTTAATCCAAATTGAATTCAGACAAGTCTCAGGTTGAGACCTCGGCTGTCGGATTGAACCCGAATATACATAAATATATTAATATATTTAATTAAGGTTTGTATTTATCTTCACTTCAAGTCTTCACTCCTATGCCTCTATCACTCTCAAATCCCTATCTCACTTGTCACTTGAAAAGTACGAATACGAAATACGAATACGTTATAATACAGATACGGCGATACGACAAAATTTTAAAAAATAAAATACGGGTACGGCGAGAATACGTTTATAAAATATATATTTTTAAAATTTTTATTATTATATTCAATTTAATAATTATGATTTATAAAGTAAATCACACATCTACCAAAGATATATAATAATAATAACCATTCTATCATTCATAAATCATACATTCTATATCACATACATATTGCATAATATCAAGTCCATGCTTAAACAAAAGAAATCATCCAATTACAAGTCAAGCAACAAAAAACTTGCAATTTGGAATACTATCCTATTACAAGTAAAGCACTAAAACAGTCCCCTCTTGTTAATGCAATAAAATTTAGTGGCAATAAAATTCAAGGACATCCATCTAATTGTGCATCTAATTTTTTGAACCAGGCATTATGCATATAAAAAACTTGGAATCAGTATATATAAACCAGGCATTATGTATACAATAAAACATGTAATTTTTTGAACTAGACATCTAATTTTTTGAATCAAACATTATCTTATTGTATATCTATATATGTATAGATTGTTCTCCAAATTGCTCCAAAAAAAAACCTAATTCAAGGCCTCCCAAAAAAAACCCTTAATTGCAAACCCTAATTCAAGACTTCAAAGGAGTGTTAATCACTGATAAAAGGCAAAAGAGACAATAGACAAGCAGAAAAAGAGAGAGAGAGAGAGAGAGAGAGAGGAGAGAGCTTACCCGATGTACTTGGACACAGAGAGATAGGGCCCCTGTCGATTGAGTTAGGCTAATCGGAGGTCCAATACAAGTTGTTGGAGGTGAAATAGGAGATACCCGTCGTCGATCAACGTCAAATATAGTCAGTCGATTGTCAGTGAGAGCGAGAAAGAGGGAGTTAGTCGATTGTCGATTGAGTTGGGGGGGCTATCAACTGAGTTGGGGTTTTATCATTTTTTTTTTTAGCAAATAAGGGTCTAAACATATTTGATCTTCTGCCCCTATATTTTTTAAAAAATTCAAATAATACCCCGTCGTATCCTTATGTGTATCTCATTCGTATCCAAGACATATATGGCCGTATCCAAAATCAAATTTATTTTTTTAATTTTAGGACACTTCTCAACCGTATCAGATACATATCCGATCGTATCGAAAGCGTATCCGTATCCGGGAAATATCCAATACCGATACCTTGCCCCTTTTGAAGTATCCATGCTTCATAGCTTGTCACTCATCTCTCATCTGATCGCAGACTCTCAGCCTCCCTCTCTCACTCGTCACCCCTCCCTCTCTCAATTGTCACTCTTCTGAGTTATCTCAGACTCTCATCCGACCTCTCTTACTCTTCACTTCTCCTTCTTTTATCAACCCAAATTAAGTAACCCGAGCCCAATTCGAATTTTCACCCTAAATTAGCCCGAATTAAGTAACCCGAATTCAACCCAAGTCTGCCCAAATTAAACTCAGACAGTAGTCGAGTTGAATAACTCGGGTTGAGGTAGGGCTAGGATTGAAAATTATATATCTAGGGTTGACCTCTTAACCCGACCGAGTTGTATCCCTAGTTAACACCTTTTTTTATATCTATAACTCTTATAAAAGAAAGGCTCAACGTTCATGCCTTGCTTAGGCAACCTCACCTATTACTTACATGTACGCATGTTTCACATGATAACTTTATTGAAGAATTTAATTTTTCTATTTTGCATAGTAGAATTGAATACTTATCTCCTATCATTGATATTTAAATTCGAGAACATGACATTCAAATTCTCTATAGAGAGAATAATCATCGAACCCAACGACCCCAACAAGCATGAATCTGTATCACAATCTTGACTTCAACACTCAAGAACAATCTCACAAACAGGTACTGTATTGAAGTATGTGAGACAAGAGTTTCCTACCTACATATATAATATCTGAATACCCACGACTTAATGGAAAATCACATGCATGACAATATATATAGGTTAGGAACCCTTATTCAATAGAGAAACTACAAGTAACGTCCTTCCATCAAGAAGTTACAACTGTTTTGAACTGCTCCATGATGGTCACTCCATCTAATGATATTTATTTATTAAAAAGATGACATGGCATGTGGTCCATCTTAAGTCTCTAATTAGAGATAGAGTCCAATACTAATTAGACTTAAAGTCCAACATTCTCCCACTTGACACACATGATACATTAGACAATTTGGGTAACCAACATTTGATATTGAATATGGTCATACAATTAAATAACTACCCGAACTTTATCGAGAAAAATAATGCACAAATCAAAGTGGTTGTGCTCTTTTAAACGAACACTCCTTTCCTTGTATTACAATGCTTCGTCTTCTCAGAACTTTATGTGGTGTAACTCATAAATGACTTCTTACAAGTCATTTCGGGTCCTATAGTTCTAATGGACTACATACTAATCTCAATGGATCGTATATCACATACAATACATTATGTGCACAAAATAGCTATAGTTTGCATTAATCATGATCAAATATTTACAAACCATGAAGTCAAACATACAATGAGCCAACTAATCTCATGTTCTCTACATGTTTCAAACACGTCTTAATTGAGAGCCCTTTAGTCATAGGATCTGTTAACATCAGATCTGTATTAATATTCCTAATAGATACTTCTTGTTTCTCGACTCTTTATTTGACAATAAAATACTTAATGTCAATATGTTTGTTCGGCTTCCACTTTTATTATTCTTAGAAAAGAAAACAACTGCCGAATTATCACAGCAAAGTCTTAATGATTT